CAAGACCAAGACAAGACCAAGACTAGTCTTGTGGTCTCGCGAAGCCCTAGTTACCACTTTTACTATTCTAAAAGAAGATATTATCAATTTTGAAATTTGACGTTTCTTCTTTGGGCCACCATCATCAACTTAATTTTTTTAAATACGGACCCTTATTTTATATTTCAGATTTTATAAGTTTCTGATGTCTCAAAACCAATGACGTATTGCGCTTATTCGAAAAATTTATATTATTGGCACTTTCCACAAGAACTTGATGTGTTAGAGCGAGACAGAAGAGAATTTTGGTAGGAAATTACTAAAAAGTTGAAAAAACATTTTTTCGAATAGATGCGATACGTCATAGGTTTTCGGACACCGGTAGCTCTTGAAACCTGAAATAAAGAATCCAGGGCTGTATTGGAAACAATAAAGTTCATGATGGTGGCCCAAAGACGAAATGTCAAATTTCAAAATTGATAATGATAGAGTAGGAAAAGTGCTAACGATGAAGTGACATTTATTTTGAAATATCTCTTCAAATAAGCTCCGGAAAAAATAAAATCGATTTTGCAAAAATTTCGGTTTTTTCCGGATATCTCTGAAAATGTTCGGAATTTTTCAAATGTCAAAGGACCATTTTATTGAGCGATAAATTCCGCAACTTTGTTCCCAATTAACCAAAATTGTATCTTTTATCGTTTCCGAAATCCCCATGTAGCTACTTTTACCTGGGACACTCTGTATAGACGGAAATTACAAATTTTTTGCAATTTAAAATTCCCGCGATACCGATTTCTACATGTTTCCAAAAGTTTATTTAGGTTCCTCATTGTTTCCGGTTGCAGCAACAAAAGTTCCTACAAGTTGCTTGTTTCCATATTTAGCGGCAAAGATCAAAGGAAATATGGAAACATGGGTAAATATTTTTTGTTTCTCAACTTTATTTTTATCAGTGTGGACATATTACACAGTAGAAAAATCATGCAAAATTTTACACGAAAAGTGGTCTATATAAGGCCACACCAATTTGTGTATATTTAACACCAAGGTTTTTGGTAAATTTGACGAGAATTTGCGTGAAGAATTTACACAAAACGGTGTTAAACATAATACACCATATCATGTAACTTTTACACTAAGTTATATTAAATATACACACAACAGTGTACGTATTTCCAAATATGCGTGTTGTATTTACACAAAACAGTGTTAAATAGAATACACCGAATAGTGTTAATGTACAGGAAAGTCGCATTTTTTACAACTAGTCTGTTGAAAATATTTGATATTTTGATAGTTATTTTTATTTTATTTTATTTTATTTTCTGATGTTTCATCCTTAACTTTTTCAGCTTAACTTATTTAATTTAATGGGAGGTATAGGTAATCACCATTCCTCACAAACCTATTAAATTAAACTAATAAAACTAAAATTATTGAGGATAAACATTAAAATAAAATAAAAATAGCTTTCGGATCAAATATTTTCAACCAGAATAGACGTGAAAATGTGTGACTTTTCCAAAAATCATACAAAACACATTAAAAAAATGTTCATTTATGGCGTAACTCTTTAGTTTTGGAGACTTTGGTTTTGGTTTCTAATGATTTTTATTGTAGACAACGACAAACGAACATCAACCATCCCATCAGCGCATCAGCACGCTTGGAACTGATCACTGTCACACAAAAGAAGGTAGAGGACGGAGGGCTTTACCCGACACACTATTGGGTGTATAAACGTTCGTCTACCGTGTAAATTTAAACATTTTTGGTGTTCATTTAATGGGAATGGTGTAAAAAATTACACATAGTCATGAGAGTAACACGGAACCAGGATATAACTTTGATTCAACACTGTATTTTGTAAGATATCAGTTTACCAAAATACTGTTGGTTAAGTGGACGGCACTTTACGAACAATGGTGTATAGTTTTTACACACAACGTGTTTAGCACTTTGTCGTGTAATTATACACGGGATTTTTTTTTACTGTGTATTGTTGCCTGTTCCCGAAACTCGAAGCTAAGCCGTTGTGTGTTTGATCCTCGTCTGATCGTCGTCGCACCACATTGTTCCGAAACTAGGAACATACACTGCACTGGTTTGGATACAGCGTTTACTGTTGCAGCGACACAACGAAACATTAACAAAAATAAGTAACCACGGTGTGGACAGAATGTTTACGGAACTTTTGCTGTTGTTTCTGTTCCAATAAACAGGTTGCGGCAACCAGCAACAAATTGTTCCTCTGTTCCTTTGGCATAAGCAGTAATTTTGTGAAATTACAAAATGATGCCCGCCAAACAAAATTTCTCAGTTATATGCCAAAAATTAATCTTACCTAATTATTGATCATTTCACTCGGTAACTACTTATTTGTTTAGTTAAGACAAATTAGCCTAATTCTATTATACGTAGATTTTGTTAAAAATGCCAACTATCTATGGAAAATAATTTTATCGTGTTTGATATTGCTCTCAAAGGTGAAATGTGGCAAGTTGTCCTGTCAATTTCAAACTTTTTTCAAATAGGTACTTGAAAAGTGACTTACTAAAACATACAGACAAGTAAGCAATGCCACTATAGGGCAATCCAACGACCTTTCAATTCAAAATGGAGGTCAATGCCTTTTTATTTAAAAAAAATGCCGTTTTATTGCGATTTTTGATTTGTATAAAGTCTCTAAAGTGTTTTTTATTTTTTAGGAAAATGCATACGTTATTGTATTGTACCTACTTAGTTGTGGAAGTCGTTCTAATCGCGAAAAAGTCTCGTTTCATGCCGTTCCTGCAGAGACAAAACACAGGTTTTTAACGGAGAAAAACGATTTGTCTGTACTTTGTGAGGGCTTCATGGATTGTAGCAAAAAAGAAAAAATCTGACGAAATCCATATTAAAAAACCAAAAAGTCTCTCTACATAAACGGTGTAGCCATTTACTATCCTCCACATCAACTTGTTTCGATACATTGAATAGCAGAAAAATAAAATATAAAATATACATCAGGATTCAGGATTTTGTTAAGAAAAAACTAAACAGGAAACAAATTCTGGATAGTACCTACCTAATTGTTTAGTAGGTAAAGGTTTGTCTCAAAGAAATCATAACTTTTGCAAACATCCAGGTTTTCCACTAATAATTTCTTAAACTAAAAACTCTCCATCTTAAAAAACGAAAATTATCCTTCCAAGTACTAGAAAATCATCTAAAAACACCACAAAATACACAAAAAACAGTTTTTCGATGAAAAATGTCACGGTTGTTTAAATTAAATTAATGACGCCAATTTTTTGGCATTGACCGTCATTTTGTTTGGATTGCCCTATTATGGTTGAAAATTAAAAAAAATATTATTCAAACAATTCGTGATATGCTGCCGGCACTTTGAAATCCTCCTTAATATGGAAGGCGGAATTTACCGAAGCGGAAATTCCCTCACCTTCTTCCAAATTCTTGACTTATTAATATAGCCTTTCAATAGTAGGCGGATAAATCCGATGAATAGGTTATTGTCATTAACGTCCAATCATTTTTTGGAACTATCACTACATTAGATATTATTCGCTTGTTTGAATCTTGAACCATTCCCATCAAGTTTGGATGGCGATCTAATCGTTGTTTGTTTCTACCTGTTTCTATTTTTGTTTTTCTTTTTTTTTTTTCGTTTTCTCTTTATTTTTTAATTTTCCGATTTCATGTTTCATAGGTTGTTTTTATTTCTTACTCTATTATCCTTTGTTCACTCATCTCCTAAGCCCCAAAACGTTTTAATATTTAAAGAAATAATTTGCAGAGGCGACTTTCGCAGATGAGTAATTCGTTCTTCGTTCACTAATAAAATATGGGAAATCCAAGTTTATTCAAAATATAGGTACCTAGATAAAAATTGGGAAATTTCTCATTTATGCTCAAATGCGGTTTATGCATTCGTTTTTCTTTTAAAAAGGTGTTTGAAAACTATTGTTCCTTGGGTTTTCCATAATTTAGGCAGTGAAGTGATTAATAACTCTGAAAAGTAAGGTACTTATAGCAGGTTAGATAAAATTAATTAAAGTCATACGTTTTGTCCATTATTCTATTAAATCGTGAAGGTTTTTATGATTTAAACGTTTGCCACACGCAATTTGTATGGTGTTGATTAATTACAGCTGTTGCTTTTTTAATTTAGGTACGATTTTTGGTTATTACTAATTTTTTTAATGATTTGGAATTTAGACAATGCATAATGCATAAGAGCATTTTCAAAGTCTCAAACAAATTTTGTATTTGTATAATCTCTGTGATTTTAACAGTTTGCAACAAAATCTACTTCTACCTTTTGGGAATATTGAAAAAAAATTATTTTCCGTTTCGTTTCCGTTCAAATCTATTGTTCAAATATTTTGTTTTAAGACGTTGCACTATAAAAGGGCGGAAACGTATTGTTTTTAGAATTAGTTCAACGTTACGAGATGGAAATTATTCAAAAAAAAACCATAACGGTATGGTCGCATGCGGAAATGAATCAATTTTCCTAATTTTTTTGCAAAGGATGTGAGAAGAATACCGCCAAACACGACTAAGTATAACGACCCAAGTTTAGGTATTTTTTATTTTAAAAGTTTATTTGTAGCAACTTGTAATTTTGACAAGCTTCACCATTCCTCACGAGTGCAAAAAAAAAAAATATTGCGGTCTCGTAGTAGAAGCGAGACCACAAAATGAGACCTTAAAAAATCCCTTTGAGATACTGAGACCGCGACTAGGATTCGTGCTCGTTGGAATAGAACCCACAATTTCTGGAAATGTTTGAAACATTTTGGTTTTAATTAAATAATGAATATAGAAACCATTCGAGGTTCATTCGTACAAATTTCCAATTGAAATTTTCTTTCTACATTGCATTAGGTATGTATAGGTATATTTTTTGCGGGTTGTGACACAAATAGTATCTACACTACAGCTTGTGTCCCTATGTGATATGAAATATATCACAAGCCATAAAATATAAAAAATAAACATGGGTATCTACTTACCAAAAGTAGTAAAAATCCTATAAGTATATCTTTTTATTGCTCGATCTCATGCACTTTTAACATTTTGGATTCTAGCTGATGAACGAGAACCGTTGCTCTGATCCGAAACCACAACACTATACTAATATTTCATTTGAGAACTGTCACTGGTATTCTTTGTTTATAGAGTCTATAAGCACTAATTTTTAAATGTTTTTCGGGTAAGTGTTGCAACTGAATTTGATTTTTGAAAAAAATTATGCAGCAGAAAGAGGTGACTAGTGATAGCTGTCCAAAAGGGCAATCACGAAAGGCAAACGGTTGTTGACAGTACCATAACCTTTGCCCCCTCTCGCATCGCAAAAGCGCAGCACCAACAAGACACTGGTGTAAAGAAGGGCCATTTGCATAAATTTGGTGTAGAGCATCCTCATCCGAGGCTCGACCTCTCAAACACCAATCAAATCCTACGCGAATGAAATCGACCAATGGCAAAATACGATTCGGGATTTAGGATTACGAGGGAGGAGCGTCGGGGAGGATCCCGGCGCGTCCCAAGGGATGGCAGATGTACAGAGGCGCGCTCTTGCTTTTTAGGGGCCATTTAGGGACCAGAGAGTCACCTGCCCCCGGTCGGCCTTTTGCTGCTCGAAAAGATCGTGACACAAAAAAACTAACATCGCCAACGAAGAGAAATCCCGGAAATTGTTTAATTGGGAACATGACCTTCTTAATTAGAGATGTTTTTGTTGATTTTGTTACAATTTTAAACAGTAAATGTCCTTTGAATATTACTACTTTCAATAACTAATGCAGACTTAGAAAATTATTAAAAATAAAAATGTCGACCTTTATTGGTTTCGTGCACGTGACGTCACTAAATTGACACTGGAGGTAAGACTACCTAACCTTATCCCATTTGTTTATATGGAGTTGGAGTGTCATGCTTTCTTCTTTTGATATTGTTTAGGTGTTTTAGTTATATTTTTGTTTGATTTGCTGTTTAATAGTTTATGAAGACATTCATTTACGTTCATACTGTAGGTATATTCGTCAGCATTGCTTTCACATCCTACAACGGCACAATACGAGGGTATTTTGACCCTAGTCTATATATACTATCCTAGGACGTGAATTATATTTCAAAAAGAAACAATTTTTCAAAGGATTAGGAGGGCTAGACGGCGAAATTTCAAAAATACACAAATTTTTAGGTTATGTTACCTCTAAATACCTCCAATGTGGTCACGTGCCGCACGAAAGCCATTGGATTGACATGTATTACCTCTAAGTACAAGAAATAGTACAAACCAATATTGACTTAGGTATGGATAAAATAAATCGCAACAATAATAAAACTCATCATAAAAGAACAATGCATGAAACACAAAGCGGATTCAAAAAAGGAAAAGTACCTGCACACAAAATTGAGGCTAGTAGGTAATAAACAAGAGTACCTAATCGAAAAATCAGAAGAAGAAAAGGAAGTACATTCATGGATTTATTTAAAAAAAGAGCACAAATAACAGATTGAAGAATTTTGGAAGTAGAATGAGAAGATGAAAAAATTATAAAGATATAGATATAGGTATTGGAAAATATCCGAAATTTTTTTTTTTAAAACATTACAAAAAAATGACGTATTAGACATCAGGAAGGATTGAGACAAAGAGGAATTCAAACCATCATAAAAAAAAAAAAAGGTGCCGAAGCCTAAAAAGTTTGAAGTTGGATACTTACTTTATAGAAATTTGCAGTTCGTCGAGTAGACTAAAAAATAAAAATGCGAAAGAAGCGACAACCAAAAATTTTAAAGGGAAATACGTTGATACCCTATGCAAATTGTTAAAGTTAGTAAAGTACCTACCTATAATACCTACCCGAAGAAGCTGAATCTTTAGTAAATAATTTGGAAATCATAGCGGAGGATGAGGATAATTTAAAAATACATAAGTTCTATGAATTGGGCGTAAAACTTTTAGAAATGAAACAAAACCAAATGAGATTGAACAGAAACAAAATAAAATTAATGGCTTTGCCGCATAATAATTAGGTATGGTATAGTGCCACAGCCTCTCTGTGACGGGGGGTGTAGGGTGGATAGATGGAGAGAAACTCGCTCAGCTTTATATAAAAAGGTGTATATTTGCTAAAAAGTCATTACGTCATGAATCCTCCTGGGGCCCGATTCTCGTCTCAGGTAGAGATGGGTTGTTATTTAACTATCTGTTATTTTTAAGCTGTTATTCAGAAATAACGGTTGCAACTGTTGATTCAGTTCAAAAATAACAGGTGAAAAATAACGTTCAAATAGAAAAAGGTTTATCCACTCAGGTGTTAAAATAACACCTTTTAAACTTAACACTGGTTGTCGTTGTCGTTGTTACAGATGTTAAGCGTTATTTTTATAAATATTCGTTCATGGAACTTGGCAAACGCAACTCGGCTCGGCTCGGTTCTCTTCGCTGGCGGCAGGGGCTGAGCAGCTGGAACGCTGGAACAGTCTGTCTTTATCTATTATTAAGAGCGTTTAAGAGAGAAGGTGGATAACATTTTCTTTTTTCTCGTTAACGGCTGCGCTGCACTGCTCAATTCTCAATTATGGACAAAATACAGAATAATAATCACAATAATACACAGGCACGTGCATTCTCTGACCACACTCCCCACTTCCTCACGCTTTAACCGTTGCCGCCTACTTCTGGCACTGCTTGAATTAAGTTCCAAATACGTCATAACCGATCGATAATCGATTAACTGCAACCCTACCACAAGAAATTAAAAATAACGACAACCTGTTATTTTGAGCTGTTATTTAAAATTAACAGTAACAGTTGTAACTGTTATTTGAAAATAACGGTTTTTCCCATCTCTAGTCTCAGGAAGAGGAGAGCTTCCCGAGAGAACAAATTTTGCGTCATTATCATTCTCGTTCACTTTTCGATTACGTTGACAAGGGCAAAAAATTCGTTCTCTCGGGGATGAGCTCTACTCCCTAGGGACGAGAATCGGGCCCCAGGATGCATGCTCTTCCGTGGGAAGGGCCACACGTTGGACGGTACTTAGGAAGGAATGTCGGTTTAATGCTTATGTTACGTAGAATGTTAATCGTCGTTTAACTGAGCCTCATCTAGAGGGGCTTTCTCAGGGTGGCGGTACTTGCACTAGATGACGATACAGTTTCCCAGAGGGACTTTCCCAGGGTGGCGGTACTTGCACTGGGAAGACTTGATTCCGGAGGGGTTTACCCCAGGGTGGCGGTATTAACACTGGTTCAAGTCTGTCTGTTGCTCGGCTTGGCCCACTATTTATATGAATTTATTGCTGAATTGCATTAAACATCCGATCGAATCGGCAATTAAATTAATAATATTGAATACCGAGTCCTCCTTTCCTAAGTAGCTCGTTGACATATGCCCCCCCTCCATGAAGCATTGGACCCCAATGCTTGGAAGAGAAATATCAAAAAAAAACTACATAGAAATATCCTAATAATGTCCAAAAATACAATAATATCCTAATCCTAAAATATCCCTGCTTAACAATTATATGCAAATATCGAGTATAGTAAAAAATGAAAAATTAAAATTAACAAAAGTTTTTTCATGGTGGGATGAGTCAGGGTGCATTATTATTCAGGTTACTACAAAAAATAGCTTATAACTAAAAAATTTCTACAGCTTCAGCCATGGGTTTTTTTTCTTTTGTTCCGGTCCTGTATTCTGTATTGTGGGTCTGTTCTGGTTCCAAGTACTTCATCCTGGTGAGTCAGCTAGATCGTTGGGCGATATCGGTCCCACGGGCCGTTTCCTGGTTTGTTATGCTTCTTTCTTGTTCATTATGCTGTATTCTGTCTTCTAAGTGGATTGGTTCTGGCTGCAAGTACTTTCTGGTGGGTCAGCTAGATCGTGGGGTGTACGGTCCCATGATCTAAAGTGTCGTTGCCTGGTTCCTGGACTGTTATTCTTCTTGTTTATTGATATAGACATGAGCCCCTACTTGGTTCAGAGCTATCGCAAGGTACCAGTTATCCTTTCAGTTCTTGTTTCGCTTTGCTATGTCCTTTCCAGGTCGAATTTTGCAAAAATACATGCAAAAAAAATTAACGTTTAAGATAAAAAAAGCTTATTCCTATAATTAGTTTATTTATGACCAACATTCGGGCCACCAAATTTATATTTGCTTATTTGTTGATCATGGCTCCAACTGGTAAGTTTAGTCCAACTTGTTTTTTGTATGTAGGTACATACCCATATGTCTTTTTTTTTTGTAGCTCGCACTTTTCTAAGATCCCTTCAGCGGAGGGAATGTCTATGGAGGGAATGTCCAGCTCTTCCGTCGGTGAGAGTGTTCCTGAGTCTTTTTCTCTCATAGTAATTCAAATTCTCTATCTTCCCTTAGACTTATGAGATCATTTATGTACATGTCGTCGATGAGTGGCCTCCGTTTCTCACTGGATTCCAGCTACTTGTACCTACATCATGGGGTTCTGCGTGGGACCCTAGTTTTGGTGTCAGCCGTGGCCGTGGTGCGAGTTCGACGACCAATTGTTTTTGTGTACATATGACAATAAATTAGATTCTGTAGAAGTGATTTTCCCCTTTTTTTTCATTCCTTTTTTTTCAGCAATTTGGTTGTCGTTCCTGGCGTAGTACCTATTTTAAATAATCTGTGCTTAAAGTTCATGTCCTATATCGTAAGCTTGGGTATCGTTCGTCTCATATTCTAACAACTGCGTTGTAGACGCGAAGTTTGGTCTCAGCGCTGATGTCTTGATTGTTGAAGAATCTCTCTAGAAGTTGCCCGGACGCCGCGCTAGCATACTTCAAGCGATGTTAGATTTCAGCGTCAATGGTTGCATTCGCTGCCAGATGGCTCCCAAGGTATGGGTGGTGTCCTAAGTTCTGCAAAGAATTGTCATTTATAGATATATTTGCTGCTTGTGGATTAGTGCCCGGTGCGGGTTGGTGCAGAATCTGCATCTTGTTAAAGTAGTCCTTTAGGTTGATTCTCCTGTCTGCCTGGTTGAATGCATTGATAACTGTTTAACGCTTGTAGTTATTTGAAAAGACTCTCATTGTCTATCGTTACTTAGGATGGTTGCATTCATATTATCATGCAACAGGCGGAGTATCCGGGTGTACTTATGTGGACACCCAACCTTTGTCAATGTTCCAAAGAGCTACTCTGTTGACCGAATCAATGCTTTCACTAAATCGATGAAGGCCATGTATAGAGGGCGATTTTGTTCTCTGGATTTCTGTTGCATTTGTCTTGCACTGAAAATAATGACAACTGTACTTCGTTTGAGTCTAAAGCCACACTGTGTCCCTGCGAGGTTCTCTTCGGCAGTTGGGATTAGGACTGGAA